CAGCGGCGAAGGCCCTCTGGACCAGAGACGTGATCCTATCATCTCAAGCACCGGGGGTGCCTCCAGCCACCGCCTTTGCCCAACCAGCCACGACGTCGACAGCAATCATCGTCTCGCAAGCCAACGCCAATCTCGATGCTCAAGGAGAAGCTGACATAGGGGCTATGCATCAGAATATGGCTAAACTTCAAGACACGCTTCGCCAGATGCAAGAGCAACAGCAAGCGTATGAAGCAGCAAGACAAACCAAGACCCATACTCAGCAGCTTTACGCTCAGCCCCAAGTCTTTCCCCCACATGCTGTACCAGCACCAGTGTACTTCGCCAAGCCCGCCACAGCCGTTGCCGTGCGAGCGACCCCACAAGTGGTCTCGGCACTGGTTCGCCTGGTGGCACCTCAAGGCCAGTACCTGAAGCCTACTCACACGCCACAAAAAATGATGGAAGCAGCTACGACCCTACAAGCACAGTTTCAAGCCTTCTTGCAACAACTCAATCGACCCCACAACAATGTACCAAGAGCTTCGCCTCCGGCCCAAGCCAAGGGAAGCCCAAGTCAGGGTGCACCAGCTCGATAGTTGCTGGGCCAGTTCGCCATGCCAAGCCAAGCTCAAGGGGTTTCTTCTCAAAGCCAACTGCTACAATTCAACCCAAGCACCGCGGCACAAGCACCCATGACTTTCGTGCAAGCCGTGCCCTGTGGGTTCGGAGCGGCCCCACCACCAAATCAAGCCTGGAATCAAGCCATGTTCAACCCAGCTGTGGCGATGCAAGCTACCTCGACAGACCAGCAAAACCAAGCGATGATGTTCGGCACGGGGCATTAATCGACACCTGCAGCTCAACCTCATGTGCAAGCTGTAGCTTCGCCATTCGCGCTTCCATACCCACAATTTAACTGGCCCTCTCAGTTAAACGATTATATGATGCTGGTTTTATTCGTCCTTGTCGATATGCTGAGTGGGTTTCTAGTATAGTTCCTGTTATCAAGAAGAACGGCAAGGTCAGGGTGTGTATTGATTTCCGAAACTTAAATAAGGCTACCCCGAAAGACGAATACCCAATGCCAGTAGCCGATCAGCTGGTTGATGCTGCTTCGGGGCATAAGATTTTGAGTTTTATGGATGGTAATGCAGGATACAATCAAATCTTTATGGCCGAAGAAGATATCCATAAGACAGCTTTTAGGTGTCCTGGTGCAATCGGCTTATTTGAATGGGTTGTGATGACTTTCGGCTATGGTCAAACCGGGTGGCAAAAAGGGTCTGCCCCTCAGCTGGGGAATTAAAAGTCACCCCATCCCTCCCCAGTTCAAGTACCCTCCCGTCCCAAGGTATTCGGGAGAGACGGATCCGAAAGAGTTCTGTCCATCTACGAATCCGTAATTGCAGTTGCTCACGGCGATGAGAATACCAAGGCGAAGGTAATCCACCTCGTGCTCGACGGCATAGGGGAATCGACAAGGGAGTACATGCGCCGATTCTCGCAAGCACGGTGCCAAGTACAAGACATAACCAAAGCATCCATCGTCAACGCAGGTTCGGCCGGCTTGCTTGAGGGTGAACTCACAAGGAAGATCGGACGCAAGGAGCCAAGGACGATCGAACACCTCTTTCGCATAATTGATGGATATGCTCGAGGTGAGGAAGACACCAAGCGAAGGCAAGAGATACAAGCTGAATATGACAAGGCGGCTGCAGCCGCAACAGCCACCGTGCAAGCTAACGCTCAAACTCAGGTTCAAGCCCAAGTTGTCAGTTCGGCGCCCGTTCTGGTTCACCCTACCCCTCCGGCGAACCCAGCGCAGCATTCAAGGCCAAACCAAGCCCCGATGACATGGAAAAAATTCAGGACCGATCGAGGTGGCAAGGCCGTGATGGTAGTCGAAGAAGTGCACGTCCTCTGCAAGGAGTTCGACGCCCAGCAAGCGGGCGGACATCAGCAACCTTTTCGCAAAATGATCAAGAAAGACCTGTACTGCGCCTTTCACGGATGCTCTTCACACACAACAGAACAATGCTGAAATATTCGGCAACAAGGCAGCACTCAAGCGCCGAGGCAGCAGCAAGCTAGGGCCGAAGAGGCGCCGTGCGAAGCGGTCCTCAACCAAGCACCTCAGGCCGAATAGCGCCAAGACGCACAATGAAGAGTGATGCAGGTCATCACAAGATCCGATCCCCCCTCGCAAGTGTCGAAACGACAGCAGAAGATGCAACTTTGAGCAGTGCATAGCATTGTTTTGGTAGGAGAAGGGGTCCCAAGATACTTGACGAAGCAGATATCCTTCGGACCGGAGGATGCCGAAGGAGTCCTTTTCCCGCACTAGGAACTGTTGGTGGTATCGGCAGAGATGGCTGGTTTTGAAGTTCGGCGTATTTTGATCGACAGGGGGCAGTTCGGCTGATGTCATCTTTGCCAGAACATATGCCAAGATGGGTTTGCTAACATTGGCATTATCTCAAGCGCCAACTTCACTCAGGGGGTTCAGGGGCGAAGCAGTGCATCTTTTGGGTTAGGCCCTCCTCAATGTCGCCTTCGGCACACAAGGAAACAAGAGAGAAGAAGAGATACTCTTCGACATTGTTGACATCCCATACAATTATAATGCCATCTTCGGCCGAGGCACTTTGACCAAGTTCGAAGCAATTTATCATCATAACTACCTCAAGCTCAAGATGCTTGGCCTAGTCGATGTGATAGTTGTCAAGGGTTCCCAGCCTTCGGCTACCACGGTAGCCTCCTTCGACAGGGAAGTTCATACCCTAGAAGTCGAAGGGCAAGAAAGAGCCAGGCCAATGCTGAGACCCGCCCCCCACGGCAGGTTGTCCGTTTGCAGATAGATGATTCTGACCCCGCCAAAGTCATATCACTCGGCGAAGACCTTCATCACGCCCTTCGGCACCTTTTGCCATCTCAGAATGTCTTTCGGCCTAAGGAATGCAGGCGCTACATTCGCTAGGCTGGTGTACAAAGTCTTGGGATCGCAATTGGGGCGAAATGTTGAAGCCTATGTCGATGACATTGTTGTGAAAAGACGCAAGGCATTCGACCATGCGTCAGATCTGCAAGAGACTTTCGACAATCTTCACGCAGCCGGCATGAAGTTAAACTGGAGAAGTGTGTGTTCGGTGTTCGCACGGGTAAGTTATTGGGGTTCCTTGTGTCTGAAAGGGGAATTGAAGCTAACCCTGAAAAAATCAATGCCATTCAGCAAATGAAGCCACCATCGAGCGTACGACAAGTACAAAAGCTCACGGGGCGAATTGCAGCACTCAGCTGATTCCTATCAAAGGCAGCCGAAAGAGGATTACCTTTCTTCAAGACCCTTCGGGGGGCAAATTCAAATGGACGCCTGAGTGCCAAGCAGCCTTCGAGGAGCTAAAGCAGTATCTGCAAAGCCCACCAGCTCTGGTTAGCCCAGCAGCAAGAAGCGAACTATTGCTCTGTCACGCCCTGAAAATTGCCTAATTTAGTAATTCATTCTTTAATGCATTTTTAGAAACTATTTTAAAAGCTTACAAGTTAAACTCTAATAATCTAGGAAAAATTTCAACATAAAATTGAGCTAGATAAAATTTCATTAAATACTTTGCTTATTTATCTATTTTCTAGATTTTTCTGGGAATTATTTGAGCAAGGAAAGTATTTTTAATAAATGAAACATCATTTCACGAATTATTTTAATTGAGAAAGTAAAAAAAAACCCTCTTCTAAGCCGTTGGGTTGTTCCCAGCCCAACCCTTTTCCCTCCCCTTGCGCAGCCGTGCGGCCCAAGCCGAGCCGCCGCCCCTCCCTCCTCTCAGCCGCCGACATGTGGGGCCCACATGTCGGGCCTTTCTTCAACCTCCGGCCGGCCACAGCCGAGACCGAGCCGCAGCCGTCCCCCACCAAATGCGCCCCAACCGGCCATCCTCGAGTCCGATTGGTTGAGGTGTTTTTATCCCTTTATTGTCCTCTATCTTTTCCCCCAAGAATCAGAGCTAATTTCTTTGTATTTTATCCGAATCAAACTCGTTTTCGAGTTTATCTCTCCAAACTAACCCTTAGAGAACCTCACCCATGATGATTTCATAAGGGCTGTTCAAGAACAAATGATGGGATTCATCAACGAGCAGATTCTCGATCCCACAGGAGAATTCTATTACGATGGAAAGCCTATTCATCAAGCCGGTCCTTCTTCTTCCGATGTCACGAAGTTGTACTATACGACATAAACAAAGATTGCAAAGTCTTAAGGAATTGTAATACATGTATATATTTATATAAGCACACATGCATTTACTTTTGCGTACTTATGTTGGTAATATATGTGTATATTTACTTAGGTGCAAACTCATATTTTGTTAATATATGCATATGGCCTCTAATTACTTAAGTGCATATATTTGTATATTTCTTATATGTATTTCTACATACGTATGCACATTGCATATATATATATATGTGTGTGTGTAAAAACATATAGTACACATATATATGCACTTAAGTAAATATAGGCCATACTTTACTTAAGTGCATATACATATATGTGCACACTATATGTATCTGCATATATATGTATAGATACATATAGTGTGCTCGTATATGTATATGTGTAATATATACATTTCTATATTATGCATATATATATATATATATGTATTTAAACATATATATGCATAATATATATATATGTATGTATGTATGTATGTATGTATGTACAGGCAGCACACAACACAACCAAATTTTTTTAAAAAAAATCTTTAGTCCCGGTTGGTAACACCAACCAGGACTAAAAATGGCTCTGTCGGCCACGTGGCTGAGCCACCAACTGGGACTAAAGATGGAGCTTTACTCCCGGGTATTTGAATCGGGACTAAAGACCGCCATCTTTAGTCCCGGATTCTCCCTCCCGATTCGCTACCTGGGAGTAAAGGGGCTTGCGAACCGGGAGAGACGAGCACTTCTCCAGTAGTGGATATATCATTTTCCAGTCTTCTCCAATTGAAATGCAATCAAGAGAACCTCAAAGACCATATATGTGTTCAATTGTCGAGGTATTTCCGTATGTTCGGCACAATCACTAAAAGATAACCAGAGTTAATTGGTGAGCAGCTAATTATGTTTCACATAAACAATCTCATGTTATCATCCAAATAACATTTGGTTGACCATGTGTGGTATCAGATATCTACACAGGGACATGTACGTTTTCCTTTTTGGAGATCTTTACAGATGGACATCTATCAATCTATGGGTACCTTCGTAAGAGGTTCGGTGGTTATTCGAGGATCTGGTATGTCATAGGCTCATAGCAGAACATTCAACTAAAGATGGGACTACTTGTATGAGAATTTATCAGTTACCAACTTGTCCATCAAACATCAGCTGACTTCAGACGTCCAGAAGCTTCTGCATTGTGGAGTGTGGACCATTCAATGGCGTAAGCTAGAATATCATCAACTGGACTCCTTGCTATGGAGTAGGTTTACCTTGAGATCATGTCATCCTTAAGTATTCTTCTTGCCATCAGAACGTGACACCGTGAGGTCTGCTGACTCCAGTTGGTCATGGAGATGCTTATTGTCCTCCACTAGGTGGTTATATTCAATCATTAGACCTTCAGATTGCTTTTGGGCAGCTAGGGCTTTAGCCTCTGCATCCTTGGCCTCATTTGCCTTTTCTTTTAGCTGACGTTTCATCTTCTTAATCTCCTCATTCAATGAAGCTATGTCTTTCTGGTATGTCTTGCTCTCATCAGAGCTTCCAATAAGCTTTGCTTCGTCTAGTGTCTTGTTCAGCTTTGACGCAGCCTCCAGATTTCTTTTGAGCCCTCGTACTTCTCTGATATAGTTATGGAGCCGGTCAATGACCAGAGCAAGGAATAAGGAGTATCCTGAAACAATGTAGTGCTATTATGATATGTCCGAAAATCCATTATGGAACTAGAAATTGCATGACAGTATGATACTGGCATACTAAGACTGAAAGGTGAACTGCTACAGAGAGGTCTGTTGCATTTGGAGGTAATTACTACTACCACCTCTGTTCAATTTTGTAAGGCGTATTTTGATTTCAAAAGTCATACTAAAAGATTTTGACCGATAATTAATTAATATACAAGTACAATTAGACCGTATAGCTTATGCCATTACATTTAGTACTTTCACACAATATTGGTTTTACAGCTATTTGATATATCTTTTATGAAAAGTTAATGGTCAATGATGAGGACATCCTCCACTATTACCTGCTGGCAAAGACGCAAAAGTCGGGCGGCGACCGTGTGAGCCTCTGAATAATCCCACCTTACTTAGCTTGGGAGGAAGAAGCCACCTTAAAAGGGAGAGCCACTCTTCCCCTATTGGACTAGTTTTTCAGGGAGATTGGGCCTTTCCCCGAGTGGGTGTGCCTATGAACTGTTGAAGTCTGGACAACCTTAAGTTATTGGACCTCAGCCAACCCCACCTGGATCGGATTGTTATCATTTGGTATCAGAGCTAGGCCCTTGTTAAGGGGGTGGGAATGATGAGGGCATCCTCTACTATTACCCGCTGGCAAAGACGCAAAAGTCAGGCGGCGACCGTGTGAGCCTCTGAATAATCCCACCTTCGAGCTAGGCCCTTGTTAAGGGGGTGTGAATGATGAGGGCATCCTCCACTATTACCCGCTGGCAAAAGTCGGGCGGCGACCGTTTGTTAAGGGGGTGGGAATGATGAGGGCATCCTCCACTATTACCCACTGGCCTGGCAAAGACGCAAAAGTTAGGCGGCGACCGTGTGAGCCTCTGAATAATCCCACCTTCGAGCTAGGCCCTTGTTAAGGGGGTGCGAATGATGAGGGCATCCTCCACTATTACCCGCTGGCAAAAGTCGGGCGGCGACCGTGTGAGTCTCTGAATAATCCCACCTTCTTAAAATGGAGATTGGGCCTTTCCACCTTCGAGCTAGGCCCTTGTTAAGGGGGTGGGAATGATGAGGGCATCCTCCACTATTACCCGCTGGCAAAAGTCAGGCGGCGACTGTGTGAGCCTCTGAATAATCCCACCTTCTTAAAATGGAGATTGGGCCTTTCCACTAGCCACCTTAAAATATTGGACTAGTCATGCTTAGCTTTGGAGGAGAAAGCCACCTTAAAAGGAAGAGCCACCCTTCCCCTATTGGACTAGTTTTTTAGGGAGATTGGGCCTTTCCCCGAGTGGATGTGCCTATGAACTGTTGGGGTCCGACCCCACCTAGGCCGGATTGTTATCATCATAGTTCAGTCTTAAGACTTTTTGAAATTAAAATACACGTAAAATAAATGGAGGGAGTATAGTACTCCCCATGAGCATCAGAAAATGATGCACTAAGATTTTTCATCATGATATATATTGAAGAGAAGAAGTATTTAATCTGTACCAAAAAAATTCCATCAATTACACCAACCGATCAATAGAAGTTCGATAAAAAAGGAGGACAGCATAGTGTACAGCATTGATGACTAATCTTTTTAATACTTTTCTGGAGCAAAGTTTAGTTACTGAGAATGGGAAGTCCTTTCATATATTTATTTCTTGAATACATTACCTTTTATTGTTCCCCCGTACAGGTTTAAGTACTTCGCAGATGTAAGCAAGTTAACCAGTTTCAGGGCTAATGGAAATAAAAGACCAAAATTCTACAGAAACTAACAGAAAAGCTTGTTTTCAAAATAAGATTCCCCAAGTAATGAATAGTTTAAGAAAAATTGGGCATGACGTATGCTGCATTATGAACAAATTGAGATCATTCACTGGTTACTTGGTTGGATTTTGCACATTCCCGTCTACTTATTTCCAAGTCAGTCTTTACGATAGTTGATACCATTCAATATAATTTATCATGTAAATATATTAGTAATTGTGATATTTTGTGTGCTGGATCTGAAGCAAGTGTAATCTACATAAATCTAAAACAAAACAAAAAAATTAAGAAAACAAATCAGGAGACCTACATCACAAGCATCTGTTTTAAAGTTCAATTGGACCAAAATAGCAGTGTTAATCAAGAACACCCAGGACCTCCATCCATCATCAGAATGGATGTACCAAAACAACATATATTAAGCTCGGAATTGATTCAGCTATATATATTCTATCTGTTGTGGTTAAAGGACATGCAGCAGCAGTTGCACAAAAGTGCATAACTGCAAGACAACCAACTAGTCAACAGGAGGTTTTGGAAAAAAAATCAATATTAGTAGATCAAGAAAACCACTACTCATGCCTGTTTAAGAAAATTCATGAATTAACAAAAAATGATTTGAACTAGAGGAGTAGGAAGTAGTGACAGTGTATGTTAAATTCATGTTTGTTTAAGAAAATTCAGTTGAGTGCATCTCATGTTAAGAAACTTAACCGTGCATTTCTTACATGCCAAAATCAAAGTGTTCATAGCTCACACTCCCAGCTACTTATATAAAAGCATATGCATTGCAATATTTGAGAATCAAACAAGATGGAATATTTATCTGCTCTATTCACTATCTTTCAACCCCTCTAGTTCCAATCTATGCTTAGTACCTTCAAATCTCGTACACCCACTTCATGCCTCCAAAGTTGGGTTTTCCACTATGTGATAGTTATTCCATTGTGAAACAAAGTCCACATGAACTCTTTGCACAATTTTTTAAAATAAACAAAAATGGCGAAGTTCCAAAAAATGAGCAATAAAAAAATAATGCAAACATATTACACATAATAGTAGATGCATCACGCAGAAATTTGTTATGTAACTTTTAGTGGAGTAATCACAAAGATTCGAGTCAGAACAGCAATCACAGTTTGCACAAGCACGTTATTAAACTTGAGTTACATGCAAGCATTGGACACAAAATAAAAATGTTCCAAGCAATGTAAAAAATGTTCTACATATTGTTGTAAAATTATACATTGTTGACTTATAGAAGAATGAGTAAAGGAAATTTATTGCTACAGCTAATGAATATATCAAACTTTCTTCAATGCTTATGCCATACTTTTTTTAAAACAGTAAGCAGTAAGTTCATAAAAAAAATGCACAAGCCAAAGGACCAGAACAATCAAGTGGCTTTATTAATACTCAATTTACAAATGCATTTAGCACGAATGGGAAATTTAACTTGGACAAAAGAACCTGGGTGACGAACCACAGAACGACAGAAGGCCACAAAAACAATTGGATTTCTACTACATTTTATTTATGCAACAGTGACAAAGAAAAATATATCTAAGACATTAGCACTGCACGATTTCCTTTTGTGGGGAGGACTCTATCGCAGTATGGCAATTAATTATAGCACACTGTGGATGCGCAACGAAACACAAAGCAGGATATAATGGAGGATCTAAAGATATAACCAGGTTATCTCTACTGCACCGTCGCCAAAATTCAGCTCTTAGAAATCGCCGACCCCGACACCGAACACAGAATTATGATTAAATCAGATCGTGGTTATACCCTAACCGAAAATCAGTTCATCCGTTCTCCTCCGATTCACCGCGACATCAAGATGATAGAGCGCAGAAGGGAGGGGCTAGGTGCGGTGCGGACATACCCATGAGCGAGGCCTCGAGGAGGTGGCGGGCGAGGAGGACCTGGTCGGTGGGGGTGAGCGTCCCCGCCCCCGCGCCGTCGAGCTCGCCAGCGGCGCGTCCGCGGATCTTGTTCATGCTGTGGACGCTGGAGGCGAGGACGACGAGGACGGTGGCGGCGACGGTGCGCACCATGACGGGTCCGCGGCCGCGCTTGAGACGGTCGAGGCCGAGCATCGCCAGCTTCCGCACCGGCGTCTTGAACAGCAGCGCGATCGCCACGGCGGCCTCCGCCGTGAGCACCGTGAACATCAGCTGGATCATCGCGCTGCCGTGGTGGTGCTGGGGAGAGAGAGGGAGAGGGGGGGCTGGGATTTCGGGTTTTCGGCGGAGGGAGGCAGCGCGCCTTCACACTTGTAGCGGGCACAGTGCGTTGCCTCGGTGTGGGTCTTGGAATGTGTGAGAAAGGCGTTGCCGCTGCCGTTGGCGTTGGTGTTATGGATGGCGTGTTGCGGGAGGTATTCTTTCTTTCTTTTTTGAGAGAATTGCTTTGTTCACCCGTTTTAAAGCTTAACAATTAAACTGATATATTTTTTCTAGTTTGCTTGTTTAACCAAGCTTTTAAAAAAGAACATCCCATCTGACTATGTTTCCACTACACCGTGAAGTTTTTATTTTTTTAAAAAATATATATAATTATTATTCGTAATGACCAAACTGCCCTCAAACCCTATCCATTCACTCCCATCCCACTCACTCTTATATCCGGTTGAGGCGGCGGCGCACCGGGAGGACGAGCCGGCACGACAGCTCGTCGACGGAGGTAACGGCGGCGGAAGCAGAGGGGCGTGAGGGGACCGGACCCGTGGCGGTGCGAGCGCGGAGAAAGTAGCGGCCGCGGCGGCTGCTGCGGCAAGCGAAAGGAGGAGCGGGCGACAGCGGCTCGACGACGATGAGGAGGAGCAACGGCGGCGGAGCTCAGGTTGTCAGGATGCGTAGGCGGTGGATCCGGTGGTGACTGGGCGTGCGAGCCACTGATACAGCAGCGCTGAGGCATGTGGGCTGTGGATCCGGTGGCGGTGGGTCGACGATGGCGGCGCGGCGGTGGTCTCAGGGACTGCGGGTCGGCAACAACGCATGACCCCGCGTCAGCAAGCTCTCCGCGCGCGTGATGCCTCCGTCTTCCTCCGTGCGAGCACCGCCACTGGGTTGGTAACGATGATGATGACGCCATGGCTAAGAGGATGGTGGCTCACGAATACAAAAATTGTTATACTCTATTTATATTTTTGATAAAATATAGTCAAATAAGCAAAGACAGAAGGGGCATTTTTTTCTCTAATTAACACCGTTACATGCCCTTAACATAATAGAGTCAGATTGTATCTTCAATTTTAAAAAGAATGGTCATACGAACAAAGTTGAAAAAAAGATAATCAAATTGTTAGTAACAGGGTCAACCCCTTCATTTTTCTGGTCATGTTTTTGTAGCGGTTGCCTACTACCGGCTAGAATAACTGCGGGTACACGGTTTGGTTGAACCGTTGAAGGACTTGGGAACCTATTCATTTGATCAATAATTTGTTGGTAATAATAAGGGCTTCTTTATAACAAAGAATATTTGTAGGATATTTAAACGATTTAAATTAAATATAAACTTTTTTATTTGTGTCTTTAAATCAAGGGAATTATCATCTCAAAATTTTTATGATAGTAATCCCTATCCTTGTAATAGGAACACTTTGAATGGTTTGGCCTTTATCCGTCATAGGGCACCTCCAACGGAGGCGCTTACATAAGAAAACCAGGTTCTTTTGCCAAGTAGGATCAGCGTGACTCTTAGGCCTCGTTTATTTCCCAAAATTTTTTTGGGTGAATAGTTAATTTAGTCCCTTAAGTTTTACCAAAAGCTCAATTTGATCCTTCACGTTTCATTTTGTCCACATAGCTCCTCCAAATATTTGTTTTGGCTTGAAATCATCCTTGGACCCTCTTAATATGCCATTTGGCTATTTCTAGTCAATATTTCTATTAAAAACTATCATTTTTGCCCTTAATTTGTATACAACTATATACTAGAAAAGAGAAAGTAAACATAAATAAACAATATTACAGATGTTCTTCCCATTATTTCAACATGTGCACATGAAACTTAAGCAATTGCTATCGTATACACTTGCTAGTACATAATTTATTTTCTTTTTACATAATATACTATGTATTATCTATAAAACATTCAAGCATGCAATTTTTCTCTTATATATGTGAATGATGAGGGGTATAAGTATCATTTATGAAGAGAGTTGTTGGTTCAAGGATAAGTTTGAACTAAAATGAAAACTTGAAGGACTAATATGGATAGATTGAAACATCAAGAACTAAACTGAGCCTTAGGTGAAACTTGGAGGATCACTTTAGCTATTCACCCAAATTTTTTTCCCAAAAATGTCATATCGAATCTTTGACACATACATGGAGATTAAATATAGATAAAATGAAAAACTAATTACACAGTTTGCATAGAAATGGCGAGACGAATCTTTTGAGCCTAATTAGTCCATGATTAGCCATAAGTGCTACAATAACCCACATGTAGTAATGACGGATTAATTAGGCTTAATAAATTCATAAAGCGGTTTCGAGGCGAGTTATGAAATTAGTTTTTTCTTTCGTGTCCGAAAACTCCTTCCGACATCCGGTCAAACGTTCGATGTGACACCCAAAATTTTTCTTTTCGCGAACGGCCTTAGCATATGAAGCCACTGCTTCGTGCGGCGCCGACGCTTGGTGGCGCTACAATCTTGATCCCAACAAATTTTTGAATGAGCGCTTGCATCGTTGCAACGGTCCTTGACAAACCAAAAAATTTGGAGGCAAACAAATAACCCGACAAACCCGCATCCATATTGCATCAAAAAGCAATGTTTCTCAACTACTCCGTCCGTTTCATACTATAAGTCGTTCGACTATTTTCTTAGTCAAACTTTTTTAAGTTTGACCAAGATTGTAGAAAAATATAGCAAAATTTCCAATACAAAACAAACATATTATCAAAATGTACTAAATGCTAAATTTTATGAAACTAATTTGGTGCTATAAATGTTGCTATATTTTTCTATAAATTTGGTTAAACTAAAAACTTTGACTAAGAAAAAAGTCAAACGACTTACAATATGAAACGGATGGAGTATTCAAAAAATGCGATCCAATCAACCAGATAGTACCAAGAAAATACAAATGAGATCAAATCACCCGTACACAGAGAACTATGCGGGGCAATCCAACAAACTTTCCACATACCAACGCCTACAAAAGGACCCACCCTCATTGTGGGTGAAATGGGAACTAGGGTACCCTATTCCCCTGATGAATTAGTAAGTAACTCATAATTAAGATAAATGGCAGGCATAAGCCATCCATAAAAATAGATGGAAGACTTAGGTTTAGTCACTTAGGGACCCGCCCTATATGTGGGTCCCGGGCTTTCCTAGGTACTTTAGCATCCACTCATCTTAAAGAAATAAGGTAAGGGGTAGTCCAGGATCCTCATTGTTTCGGGGCCCGGACACGCCCTTATCCCTACTCAAAGTGCTAATTCCGCCCCATGGAGTGTAGTGACATACAAAACCTATGTATTAAGATCTTAAGCGAAAGGGATCATGGATGATCAATCTGGGGTCCCTGGGTCTCGGTAAACTGGAACAGGCCCCTCTGGGATATGTGAAGCTTACAAGAAATATATCTTAATAGCAATAGGAAGAGATAGATTTAGGGTCGGCCTGTTCCAGGGCCCCGGGCCCACTGCTGTCGATAGGGGAACCACTCTTCCTAAAGAGGAGTGTTGAAACATATAAAATCTACAATGACCCAAAACTCTGAGCACAAGGGAACGCAACTTCCTTATGTCCCCATTAGCAAAGGTTTGTCTTGGACCCGGTCCTGCCCTGGGTACCGAACTTACCTCAATCCTTGTAAGTCCTACGATCCTTAATGAGAGGAGCGTGGATGTCACATCCAGAATATTTTGTGTATAAAATCCGTGTCTAGGATTCAGCCAGGAAAAACAAAACGACAAGTAAATATACAGATCGAAACCTAAATAAAGCGTAAAATACTAATAGAAGAGGCACTTAGTCCCCAGACCGAAAAGAAACAACTGTGAAAAATAGACGATCCTAGCGGTGCTTCAGCTCCACTCCACAGGCAAACTCGACTGGGTATAAGCCTTGGTCCTCTAACATCATCTTTAGCTCAGAAGCACTACACTTCTGAAAAGGGGGAATAATTAGCAAGGCTAAGTACAACCACTGTACTCAGCAAGCCACACCCATGATGCAGACGTGCAAGGGGAGACAAAGAAGGGTTTGTGGCTATTTGCATAAAGGTGGTTGCAAACATATTATAGTTGAAAGCAGAAAAACTATTGATTAATTAAGGCAATATTAAATCTCCACTGGACAATGCTACCCCACATTGAACAGACCCAACCAAACCACCTGAACTACACCAGTTCTTTAAGTTAAATTAATTAATAGAATTGAGTCTAATCACGATGGCTAGTTGATCGCCCATAACCGCGGGCATGACTATTCGAATAGTTTTACTCTGGCCAAAGGTGCACAACTGTACACACAAGGCACAACCCAATGGCATGTTATTGTGCCCATTCTTGCTTATGGTAAGCGCGGTAAGTCTTCTAGGGATTCCCGAGAACCGGTCCTTAATTGCCATGGGTTCAACTAGAAAAACCATGCACCCACAACCCTCCATTATGTCATATTTTAGTTGAATAATTACAACCAGTGAAACATGGCCAGATTTCTCGAGCTCACAGCTCATCAAGATAAGTGTGAATAATGTAATTATCCCATTTTGTGAGCTAGTGGTAATTAAGCATGGCTAAGCATATAATAGTTCCAGCAAGATCAACATAAGTGAAACAATCACAGGTGGGCCCGGCGACCCCACCTGTCAGTCCCATCCCCAACCTCAGCTCCATCCCAACCGCCGCCATGGCCGCCCACTCCACCGCCAAATCCGCCACCTCCCGTCTCCTGAGCTTGCATTCAATAGCGTGGACTCGGTCCCCTCCATGTCCTCCACCATTTCCTCCACTCTCCCCATGAAAATCGGTGCCGGTTAACCCGCCCACCACCCCCACGTCGGCGCCCTACTTCGCCGGCCGTTTTCGCTCCTCCCAGCCACGATTTCCCTCCCCAAGCGCTATAAAATGGCCCCCTCACCTTCCCTCATCCCTTTTTCCCCTTTCCCCGTGCTCCCCGCACATAGAAACCATTTCCCCGCATCGCTCCCTCTCTCCGCCGTCGCCGGCAAGCTCCGGCCGCCTCTAGCCACCGCTCTCGCCATCGCCACCACTGGCGTCACCGCTCCACACCGCACCCCGGCCCTCACCTTTCTTCCCCTAACCGTCGCTGAAATCCCACCGCCACCGCCGACCCGAGCTACATCAA